TTAAATAATATTTTTGGTGTTTATTATTTAAATATTTTTTTTGTATTAAAAATATTCTTTAATATCTTTAAAACTCTGGTTTTAGGAATTCTTTTTATTTCCACATATCTCTAATTTTTATTGTATACATTTTGGCGCAAGCGATGCTGTTCTTCAAGCAGCTTGAAAGTTATCATTGTCTTTTTGTAAACAATTCCATCACAGCGTGAAAAATCGAAAAGTTAACCGCAAAAAAATGTTTAATTAACTAAAAAGATATTATAAATTAACAAAAAAAATTTTTGTGTTTATTATTTAGATATTTTTGCAAATTTTGTTATTATCTAAAACTCTGGATTTAGAAACCCCTTTTATTTCCACATATCTCCAATTTTTATTGTATACATTTCGGCGCAAGCGATGCTGTTCTTCAAGCAGCTTGAAAGTTATCATTGCCGTACAAAAAAAAAAATTAGTTAAATAAAAAAAATTTAAGTAAACAATTTTTTTGTGTTTATTATTTAAATATTTTTGCAAATATTTTTATTATTTAAAATCTCTAGTTTTAGAGATACCTTTTATTTCCAAATATTTATAATTTTTACGGTATACATTTTGGCGCAACCAATACTGTCCTTCTAGCATGTTGAAAGAAATTTCATTGCCTACATTTAGGCACTTTTCGTAAACAACTCCATTACAGCGTGAAAAATGGAAAAGTCAAATGTAAAATTGTTGTAATTTAAATAAAATATACTCAACAATACAAGTATTATGAACGTCTAACCTTCTTCACCTACAAAAGCCTCCGCCCACCTATGCCAGCTACATAGCACAACTTCATTATATAGCTTACTCTGTTTGCAGTATTTGCTTATTTGATTGCGTTAAATCACCAGAGAAATTACAGTTGCAAAATGTACAACGATTTTATGACGATTCGAAGCTGAAGAGAAGAAAGGAAGGAAACTAAAACCAACGAAGTAAGTGTAAAGTTGCCTGTCTGGGGCTGACTGTCAGTCACACAGTGTGAGCGTGTAATAAAACAAAAGCGCAGCAAAAATTACTCAACTCAATTCCGTCTGAGGCTATGATGGCAAAACCGCATAAAAGCAAGAATAAAAACAACAAATTAGACCTTAAAAAGTATGCAAAAAACAAGTGAAAAATAAAAACCAAATGAAAAACACAACTGTCGGTTTATTCTGCAAAATCAGTAATATTACAGCATTACTTTTTTGCATGTGAATTTGTGTGTGTGCGCCAGTGAGCCTGTGAGTGAGTGAATGAGGCAAGTAGTTGTTAGTGTTGCTCGACCGTGTGTTTGGAGCTCTTCCCTGTTGTGGTTTAGTGTGAGTAATATTGGCCTCTGCAATGCCGGTTGTAGCCTAAAAACCAATCTCATTTTCATTAAATATTCAAAGGCACTTTGCGCTGAATTTTCGTCTGCCTGCCTGTGCCATTCATTCTGTCTCTCTCACTCTTGTTCTCTCATTATAATTTCCCTATACCCTTTCCATTGGCATGGCAAGCCACAGAAACTGTGAATGAGTTAAAAAGAATAAGTAAATATTATGCATTCTTAAATAGTTTGTTTGTGCCCTCTTTTTTTAATTCTTTTTTCACGTATTGTGTTTCTTTTCTTTCTTGAGCTTTAATCTTGCGTTACTAAATACTCAAAAATTAAAGTTCAGTAAAAGCGCCAAGGAGTGTTTCTTTAAAATACATTTTTTTTTGAAGTGCTGAAAATTGTTCATGAAATTTCAGGCAAAACGTATTGAGCTTAAGCAAATGTTGTTGAAGTACTCTGGGGTTCCGGCTAAAGTGCTTGTTGTTTACAATGGAAACTAATATCTTCTGGTGATATCTGACTTTCTGTTCTGTTTGCATCTTCTTATCTTATTAACTCCATTAAGCAATATACGACTGGCGTCTGCGCAGCGTCAGTTGTCTCTTATGTCAGTGGGTAAATACCATTTTTGCAACCATTTGGCTGCCCGAAAATCTTTTGATACTACAGGCGATGATACAAAAGGATCATAGCTTAGGGTGTTTCTCGAGAAACCCACATTTTCAGCTCTCTTTGGGCTGTCCGATCATTGCAGTGGCGCCCCGCTAAGATTTTGGCTAGGTTTTTTTATTCTGTATCGGCATAGATACATTCATTTTGCTCGCCTCGCCGATCTCTTCACAAGATAGTTAAATAGAACAGATAATTTATCACTTGGGTTTCTGGTCACAGAAATATAGAGCGATATATAGTAGGGAAGATGAATTAGCCAGACAAGAGCGTGACCAATGGCACTGCAAATTTCAGAACATCTGCACAAATTTGGTACAAATTGAGTAAGAAAAAGTCACACGATATTTACTCTCTTATGGGATTTGACACCACTAAGGTATTAGTGGTTCTAACAGCCACCGCTGATATGCGGTATGGCTGGGAATTTACTTTCTTGCAGACGTTGAAGAAGCAATGAGAAAAATGAGGCAACAAGCACTATAGAGAATATAAAAGGAAATATGCGGAGAGAACTGTAGTTGAGTCTAGAAATGGCCTTAAAAATTGGTTTGATAATTGGATTCTCTTTTGTAATAAATATTGTAAATTAACCTGGAAGGAGTCTACTTTGGAGTGGATATAAAAAATTTTAGTAATAAATATTTTTTTTTGTTTTATTATCAGGAACCATTATCACCGAATCTACTAGAAAAAATTAAAATAAATCATATTTTCAAGTTAAGATTTACCTTTGGGTGGAGTGTTGCTATCTTTTTCTCATTCAAGCTACCTAACCACAACAGTATGTCCCAAGCTAAGATAAGGCGGTGGGGTCACTGGTACAGGAGGTATGTTCCCGCAAAAGGATAACACATGCTTACGTGGACTTCCGAGCACTCATACGTTGGCAAAGAAAATTAAAATTCGTGTTTCCTGGGTACCAGTGCATATGACGAGATGACCAATGAACTGGTTAGAGAGGGAGTACTCTCGGAACAGGAACTCATGTATGTAGTTCGCATTTTATATTCGCTGAAGCTTTTACTCCAATTTGAAATTTTTGCGTCTTGATGTTTTTCGAACAAATGGAGGGACCTACAGCTTATATTAAGTCGCCTCCGATGGTTTTTTTTTTATGTGAAGCCTTCTTCTCATGTCAGAAATGCACTCGGGGAGGTTGACATTTACTGCCGAGGGGCGACCGCAATTAGGAAATTAATTTTCAATAAATTTTGGGTATTCATCGTACCAGGATTTGAACCTCGGCTCTTGGAAACGCAGTACACAATGCTAACTACTCGGCTACCGCAGCTGCCATGGACTTAGCAGTTTCATTAAAGAAAGTAAAAAATACGATAGGAGCTCTTTTGTGTTATCAGACTAATAAATGAGGAAATGGCTGCATTGTAGCGAAAATTAGATGAAAAACATTAGACACAAGGCTTACAAAGTTTTTACTAGCTATATATAGGTTAGACTCAAGGTTGCCATCAGAATTGTTAACAGGGTTGTTGAAGACAACAAATGCAGGAAAGGCGATGAGAGGAGTAGGCACAGTACACCACCTAATGCGTGAGTGTTTGTCGAAGATAAATTACAGGATCTTCAATCTGCAGAGGTTACCAAAACAATGGCTCAGTTGCGTGTCGAAAACATTATTGCTATTGTGGAACAGAATATCGAAGTATACCTAAATGAGTCCATCCGTCATCAAGCGCAACAATTGGAGCTATGCCCGCTCACTTGGTGGAAGACTTCGCGAAAGGAGGAAACACAATTCATACAAGAATTGAAGTCGAATGACTATACAGCCTCGCACGTTGGGTAAATGTTTCCAAAGCGAGATGTCTGCTGACCCCAATTTCCACAAGAATATTTTGTTTAGCGATGAAACTCACTCAATTCACTGTTGGTTGAATGAGTACATTAAAAAAGAAAATTGACCACATTTGGAGTAATGATAATACAGAAACTATTACTAGGAGGCCGCTAATCTTTTAATAGGTCACTGGATACTGTTATTTGTGCCCTCAAGAAAAATCATTGGCCCATATTGGTTCAAAAAAGAAGTCTTCCATTATATTACAGCCAATGAGTAACGCTGATGTACTATGATTAATAACTTTTTCGGACGACCTTTGGTTTCAACAAGACTGCGCTACGTGTCACACAGACAAAGGAAACAAGAAATTCATTAAAGGATACTTTTGGAGTGGAGTATAGCCTCCAGGTCACTACCATTAACACCACTGGATTATTTTTGTGGGGCTATGTAAACTCCCTTGCCTACGCAGATAAGCCAGCGATGATTGATGTCTTGAAAGAGAATATTCGATGAGTAATTGCTGACCCGATTGTGAGCTGCAAAAACTGATCGAATGTTGAGCCACTCGGCTGAAGGTTACCCGAAATCATTTTTGGAAACATAATGGCAAATCCTTAACAAAAAATTAAATTATATATGATTTATTTCTACTTGAAAATCTTTTTCTTCTTCTTTATTGACGTTGGCAACGTCTACCCGATTATAGCGCGCCACTCATTCCTTATATTGGCTGTTTGGCGCCAGTTGGAAATACCGAGTGAGGCCAGGCTACTCTGCACCTAATCCTTCCAACGGAGTGGAGGTCTAGCGGAGGTTGGTGTGTTTTCATCTACTAAAAAATCATACGTATAAAGAAACACCCTTTACAAGGCCATGCTACGGTCTATTACAACTTCACTGATTTGTTCGGAAATCTCTTTTTTTTTTTTTGCTCATAATTCAATCTGCTATATTTACTTTTGTATAACATGTAGAATAACCATTATATAAATATTATGTATATTATATTTAAATGTCAAGTACTATGAGCATTTAAGTTACCAACCAAGTAGCAGGCAAAATTACCTTAACCAATTTAATTTCCTTCTTAATACACTTTCTCCACCCTTCCATCCGCAACACGTTTACACAAGTTTACTAATTTCGCTATTTTTTTCTACTTCTCGTTTTCTTTTATTACTTTCCTCCACACAGCATGTCCTTTGGCTGGTATCGTGCCGAGGTTATCGGTGCCATGGCCTCGGTTGTGATGATTTGGGTCATTACCGCTATACTCGTTTGGTTGGCTGTGCAACGTTTGATTAATCGCGATTTTGAAGTGGACGCCACGATTATGTTGATTACTTCGGGTTTGGCGATTTTGGTTAATTTGATGTAAGTACGCACTTGAGTAGCATACACATACACATACATGTCTATAAATGTATTACTTACAGATATATGTATGTATAAATGTATTGACATTTATACTTGTAAACACTTATATTTCACCACCGAAACAACAAGAGCTGAAACAACAATAAATTATTTACTAATAATGAAATACATAACTAATGTGATTAGGTTACTTGGTATGGCGCGCTGTTATCGTTGTTGTTGTTATTGTTGTTGTTGTGTGCATAAATGTGGCATTGGCCATGAATTATTTAATTGTATGTTAAGTAGTTTAAGCACAGCGTATTAAGTGTTAAGTGCAAGTGGTCCGGAAATTAATTACACATTTATGTATGTATATAAGCACTTAATTAGGTTGAGTAGAAGACTAATTAAAGTTTAATTGGCGTGGCGAGTTTTGCAGTCAGCGACTTAGTTTTTTTTTGTGTTTTTTTTTATCAAGAGGCTGAGCTAAAGCTTGAGGCGCTTAGAAGCATATAATCCAGTTGATTTATAGCTCCATAACGCCTAAAAGCTCGCTATAGCATATTTCTTACTCAACTCTGATGCCTTGCTAATCGCCTTGGTGCTGATGACCGGCGTAAAACCGATTGATTTGTGTTTTTGCTTATGCAGCATTGTTTACTCACTGTTAGTCTTCTTCTTATTTTTCTTGGTATCCTCTGCTGTTGACTATTTGTCACGCATGCTTTATGCTTAGTGCGCATTTTGTTTCCTGTTTGCTTGTGGGTGACTTTCGGTTTATGTCTACTGTTTCAGCTTTACGCACATGATGGTTGTTCCGCTTTATAACTGCGTGGGTTGTGCGAATTCGGCTGATTTGCCATTTTTGTATTGCCTACATTTTGGCGTTAATAAATTACTATTCTTTTTCAATTTTGCCATAATTTCATGTAGATTGTTGCTGATATTGCACAAATATTTCATTATCGAGTAGTTTGTGATTGGGTATGATAGTGATTGTAAGTGCTTGCTACCATTTCGAAGGTTAGGGATCAAACCCTAGCATAACACCTGGACTGGACATATACAGACCAGCGCACTTAAGTCTGAAGGATCGTTGTGTGATATCGCTGTGGAGTGCTTCTCACCTTCTCATATGTACGAACCATTTCGTTTGCCTTATGTGTGATGCGATACTGCCTGTACCAGGCGTTGCTACTTTAGTCAGGTAGTCAAAGAGGTGATGTTCTAAGTAAGGCTGGACAATGCCGGAAGTATTGGTCTCTCCATCTACTATAGAAATCGTTGAAAAGGTATCCCATTCTTCTACAGTGAAGTCCTATTAAATGTCCAATGTCGCGTTGGTTGTCTTCGTGAAAAGCAGCTTTAGTCTGAGTTTTGCCGTAGACAAGGGTACGTCCACGACGTGCATAGAGTTGTAATTAGAGTTTTACCTTCTCTCGCTAACTCATCCGCCATATAGTTGCCTGTGATTTCCCTATATCTGACGCACAGACCAGTTTCCAGGTCTTTTGTGGTGTCGACGGTAGAGCTCCTGTAATTATAATAGCTGCCGACCGGTACACTTTGTGTAGTTAACTCCTGAGAGTGGTTTTATCGAGTGCTGGCAGGCCAGACCGTACTTTTGTAGTATATAATGGGTTTGGTTATTATTTCGTAAGTAGATCCAATGAGTAATAAACGGTTTTAGACCCCATCGCTTGCCCCCAGTGATAGTTATCCTCGATATATCCGCAGTAATTCGGCTGCAGTTGATCTTATCGTCTAAGATTATCCCGAGATATTTTAGTTCGGTAGAGAGAGTGTTTTCCTTGCCTCTTAGTTTGGGTGGCTTAAATGAAAGTCGTTTATATCTCGTTGGTTTGACATTTAGACCGCCCTGTCGCTACCACTAGAGTGTTCAGCGTCATTTTTGAATAGCTCCTACGAGACAATATGACAATAAAGTTATGAGATTGATTCCATAAAGACCGTATATTTCAAAATTATTCTACAAATTTGCCATCCCCTTCAAGTCCCCTTGAGCAGCTATACAACGATTCCAGCGCGTTTTCCATGCTTCGTAGTATTTCTAGAACCCTTTGACTGGGATGTTCACGAGTACCCTCGTCACGGCCGCCTGCATGTCTTCAATCGACTCAAAATGGGTTCCTTTGACCACCGATTTTATTCATGGGGACAAAAAGACGTCACAGGGTGACATATCGGGCGAATAAGGTGGTTGATGCAACACGACGATCCCTTTAGAGGCCAAATACTGGGACACGTTGAGGGCGGTGTGGCACGGCGCGTTGTCGTGATGAAGTAGCCAGTTGCGAGCGATGTCTGAGCGCATTCTGCTGACTCGTTTTTGCAATCTTTCGAGTACTTAGCGATAGAAGACTTGATTTACGGTTTGTCACGGTGGAAGAATGTCTTTGGGGACGATTCCACGGCTATCAAAAAAAGCCAATAATCATCGTTTTCACCTTCGACTTGTTCATGCGAGGTCGGGCGGGGCGCGTGGTCGTTTTGGTGTTTGGTTTCCCGGTCGTATTGAAGAAACCATAAATTTTGTTTCAATTTTACAGTAGGTTTCTGAAGCTGTTTCGCCCAATTCGTACTCACGTTTACTCAACACAACACAGCTGGCGAAATATATAAGCTAAAGCGATTACAACTATATCAATAGAGTGCAGAAGGGAAAGGGAGTTTCAAGGCTGCAGGGCCTCATGAAGTTAATATTGTTAAAGGTTCCTTCGATGATTAGAAACCCTTTTACATCCAGTCCTTTTTCGACACTATGTCGTGAAGCTTAATGTCGACGAACTTTCCTTTAGAGTAGGTGTGCTGCTTCCACGGAAAGCTATTTTGCTGAAACTGTGTAAGAATATGCCCTCTTTTCCTACGTGGAAGTACGTTTTGATCTTGGGAATGGCCAGAAAAATTACCGCTGAAAATAATATCCAGGATTTTCCGCAAGATGCGGTAACCGGGAGGCTCTGTTCGAATGCAGTCGGACATTACTGACTGCGATTCACCCAATGGGTATGAAAACGCATGACAACCTAAGATAAGGGGGAAGGGTGTGCTTGATACCCCTCCCATGTAGATCCGTGGTGTTAAGTTGGTATAACAGGGTCACCTCTTTCATCCATTTCGTTCCGGTAGTTCTCCCGTGAAGAGTTTTCATGAAGTGTGAAAGCCAGGTTGTCAAAAAACCTCTTGAACGAGTTTCCATATGCGGATCACTGCTGAACTTTATCAAAATCGACCAATCTCTGAAGCGGATGTGATTGCTGATGAGAAGTGGATTACAATCAGCCACTTCATGTGACTGTAGACGAAGAGTAGTGAGCCGACAGAAACGATATCCAAGCCAGCATAGACGGGCAGTAAGATCTCATTTTGCGGGCTTGGTAGAATTGTAGTTATCCACTAAGAGTTACTGCCTTACGGCCGAATTTTGAACTTGGGGCTGTATTGTCAACCATTGGACTGTGTGAGAGTAGATGCGATTTATCGTGTCATCTCAAGACTTCACACCCCTCCGAGTGCTTGTTTGGGGGGCTCTTATACATTCACCATATGACTCGGACCTCGCAACAAGGTTACCATCTGTTTCTGTCTATATCCAGATTTGGCTCGTGAATAATTGGCATAAAAAAGCATCTGAAAATCGATTGTTCAACTGTTTTGCCGATGGAAATCAGTGTTTCTTTGACAGACTTTTCGGCAATGCCCCATAGCGCTACCAGCAGTACGAAGTCTGACCTCGTTGTAGCTAGTAAGCACTTAGTAGCTTCGCGTCATATATTTTGCACATTATATCCGCTATTCTGCATCCCTGAGTACATTTCCGAAATCGTTGAGATTGACGGAAGAAAAGTATTTCTTGTTCATTTTTCACTTTTCGAAGTGAAACTGGTAATCCTATAGTGGCGTGATACTATAAAAGGGTTCCATCATCAGCTGGTTGAACAGTTGATTCGTAAGCTATCTCATGGCGTTCAATCGCTTGTACCCTGCCACCCAATGAAGGTGTACATTTCTTCTCTTCGAGAGTATGGATTTAGTACCCCCATGACAAGCTTCGTCTGCAAAGTTGAGTGCTTGCTTGATTTATGTGCCTCTTATTGCATCTGTGAGAAGTTTCCCGGGAGTCAAGTGTGGTATGAAGTTTTCTACAAAAAAGAGTAAACAATTAAAAAAAAAATAGTATTGTCAAATTACACTAGTAAAGCCAGCTTTGTAATACAAAATTTTTCACGGTTTATATCTGTTATTAAATATTCAAAATTCTATCGTTTCAATCACATCCCGTTTCTTTCATGATACCCACATATGCATCTGTTATGTGTGCGCGAGTTTGACTAAGAAAACGTCTGATTATTTGGTTGGAACCGAAGGGTAACGTAAGTGATAGCCATTGGTTTGACTCAAACAAAAGGTATTACAACGAGATTGAAACAAACTATTCATTGCACATTTGTTTTCGGCATAAAAACCCATCAAAAATAGTGTCTTACTTTGATGAAACACCCAAATCGAACAGAAAAAAAAATCCCATTCAGAAATTTTGCTATACGGCACCTGAAGATGGGCGCGCGAAACTCAGCGTGGCAAAAATTAAGGCGGGAAGCCGACAAATACGGCAACTGATTAATGGTAATTCAGGGAGACATGAATCACCGAAAATCACTTCAGAAGTTTCTAATCTATAGATGTATGTATATATATGTTTTAGGGAATATTGTACAGAATTTTACTGGAAACCATTAATCAGCTTTGAGGTGGAAATATATACTAGACTACTATTTATATTTCTTTCCGCCAAATTTGGTTGCTGAGAGTGATAGATGGGGTAAGGGGCTCAATAAGGAACGTTAACAAAGAAGGTATAGTACAGGAATGTTTGTATATTATTGGTTTAGATTTAACGACCTTCCTAAAAGCCAGATAGCCACGTAAATCGGGATCCCTTTCCATCAGCTGTCATATTCGCTATTGCCAATTCCCACAAGGCCATAATTTTT